AAAATGTCAACCTTAAGCTACTGGAAGGAAACGGTGATGGCTTTATATCCTGTGCTCTCACACAAGTGCCAGAGGATGATATATGAGGAGGTTCCTGTATTGATCAAATGTTAGAAGAAGTAATACAAGGAACAAATGCCGACAATATGATGGATGACAAGTCAGTCAGAATCCCTCGATTACTGTGTGTGATTAAGAGGGGAGAGGTTAGAAAGACAGCAAAGCCAACACAATAAAATCACTAGTATAAAGCTCTAATTGAACAGAGGTCACGGTCTTGTGTTGCCACTTGATCCTTTTTAGAAGTCCATATCCTCCATCAACTGACCTATTGATTATCTTAGCGAACACTGTAGCCTACTGTATAATCTACCCTATAAAACACAAATATGAAAATTATCCACAACAACAAGCCCCTGAAGCTCATTATGTTGTACTTCATTGACTATGATTAATTCTACCATTAGTAAGATTTAATCGAATGGCGCGACATAGTCACACTGTGTCTGTGCTGCTGACACACAAACTGAATTTAAAGGCAGTTTGAAACATGGCCTTGACAATTACACCGAAATACTGCATAAGAGCCCGTTAATGCTGCGGTGCCATTAGCCCCACACAGAGAGTGTCGGAGCAAAATTAGCCTCCAGACCAGGCTTGTTGAGTGTCATGTCAAAAATAACGCATACATAATCACAATCATATCTGATGATTCTGGAAACAGATGTGTCAAATATATGTGTACACCATTGGAAAATATGAGTTTATAAATGAATGTACCAACTTTATGGAAAATGTTGTTTACCTTGTGTTTTCATACAGCTGGTGCCAGGTTACAGCACTGGCGTTTTCCCCAATGTTAGTATTCATTGTTGGAATATGGCATGTCTCACAAGCTGAGGATAAAGACTTGAAGTTGTCTTGAGAAATGCTGCAGAGTGTCTGATACCATATGCCACTCGATTCTCCAGAGTGAAATAAATGGTGATTATTTTACACCGCAGAAAAGCATGATCCATAGCAGTTTTTTTTGTTCTAAAATAAAGTATTCTCTTTTAACTCATTAGAAAATGGGAATGTATTTGTAATGTTTGATTAATACCTACTGGTAACATTTTGGGTTACACTTTGCACTTCAGCATTCATACCAAGTAAACAAGACATGGTCATAGATTCTGCAACAGAACAAGCAAACCCATCATAATGAGGATATAATGATAACTGTTCAGTTGTTGTTTATTATTATCTTTTAGCTGAGCAGCTTTCAGTTTCCATGGTTTTCAAACTCCAGTGATTCAAATGTGTCTGCTTAGTGGCTGGAGGCACAAACACACAGCTCAGATTTCCCGGAAACAATAAAACAGTATCAGGATCATTTAACATCTCTTTTCTCTCATTTCTTAAATGACTGCTTGTGTTGAATTCAAAATGAGCCAAAACAGCCCCACACTGTTCATTTGATGATGGAGCAAATTATTTTAAAAGAAATTCCACTGCTCCTAACATTCTATGCTGCTTTTTGTTGCTTTTAGTCTTGGTTGTCTGCGTTTTTTTGCGGTGTTCCTGTGTTGTTTAACTCAATCCCTTTTAATTGAAATGCTTTCAGCCTTAATGGTTCTAACAACACTGTGTATCTATCTATGGATAACATGAATCTGACATTAGAAGTAATTGTCCCTGCATCTTTTAAAGGGAGTTTTAATTCCCCGTGTGTTGTACAGAGATATTTATTCGTCTACATATAGCCACAGCAAATCGGCTTTTTATTTATGAGGTCATTTTAATGGAAACAGAAGAGAAGACTTCTTTATCTCGCTCAGCTTATTGCTTCTTTGTTTATCCCTATCTTACAGCTGATTAAAATATCGACAGTTCTACGCCTAATACTATAGGGATGCAAACTCTATTTCACTGCAATAGGATAAGCTTCATATAGCCAATTACCCTGATAGGGTTACGCATACTATTCCTCCTGAAATCCATTATGTTACTCCCTTAGTCTGTTGTATTCCAATTACCTTGACCAGTTCTCATATGGCTCAATTAATAAAAAAGCAGTTTACCACCTGCAGTCCACTGAGGAAACACAAACCGCACTATAGGCTAATCTTACCGATAAAGTGAAATAATTCAAATGAAGGAAAATCAGTCTACAAAAAGATCAGACTGTATTGTCCGTATAATTAATTGCATCACATTCTGTATCTGCTCTTTCCATTTGTTTTGCTCTTAACTTTTTTTTGACTAAAATGTGCCTTGCGCCTTAGCCTTAGGAGACCTGACTGTTCACAGACGGTAGATAAAAAGATGGACGTGCAGCTTAATGCTGTGACATTTACTGGCTGGTCCCCCGGAGAATTTAGAGTTCTCTTTCACTCTTGAAGCTGAAAGCATAACAGCCTTTTAGTCACTTAGTCTGACCTCACTCAGCTGCTGTCCTTTCACACATTTTCTTCACTCTCATTCCCAGCAGGCGAGTCCATTAACCTGAAGGAAATAGCAGTTTGGGGTTACGCTGATCAAATTTTTTTTAATGTTAACCTGAACAATAATCAAATCACTGTCACATCTTAATTACCGTGTTCTAAAGTACCATCGCTTTTATCACATTAATGGTTATAATAAACTGTTGATGTCAGGATAGCTGAAACATTACTGTCTAAAGTAGTTATCATGAAGAGCATCAGAAAACACAATTTTCTAATGCTCATGATAAGGTCATAAAAATGTATCTCACATTAGTTTAAACTTTGTATATGAACCTGGTAATAATCTAGACATGGATTGACTGTGAAATCATCTTCAGGTTTTTAATATCTGCAGGTATAAAGCTACGTTTTTGGGCTACATTTTATAAAACAATCCCTTTCCAGTGACAAATCCTTGGAGTAACTTGTACAAAGTGCTGCTATTGTTTGGTGTTTGTTTCCCCAGCAACTGAAGAAGAATGGAATATCTGTAATTGCTACATAAATTGCATAGAACCAAGGATGCAATGCTTTGTGAAAGATAAGTAGGAGATAGATACAGTATAATTAATGATGTACTAACAAAACAAGCTACAATGAAAAGAACAACAAGACATGTCTGTCTCATTTTCTTTAATGTTGCCTTTAAGTTGTGGAGAGCGTTGTGATTCATCATTAAACAATACGCACCCGCCAACTTTATTACTCGTCACTCATACATGCATATTTCTGTGTAGAGAAAACAAAGTGACAAATAGATTATGGAGTACATGATTCTACACCTATAATTACTGATCATTTCTGGTATTTTCAGACACTGGTCATTTCCATGGTGATGGTGTCTTTAGAGAGGCTTTAGTACGCTCTCTCCTCCCAAGATGCTTGATTACACTTTGTGAACAAATTGCTCTCGCTTTGTTCCCACACGAGGTAATAATGCAGTAAAGCCTGCTACCTATCAGCCAATATTAAAAAGTAAGGAACCCAGTTGCTTGATTATATAGAAGGTGCCTAACAGCTCACATAAATCAAAAGAGAAGTATGCCATGTTAATGGAAGAGGCATGAGGGAAAGGGGGGGAAACCTGAAAGGCATGCTAGTATTCTCAGCTGGTGCTCTTTATGCTCAACTCAATTATACAATAATGCAATTATTATTTGAAATGTTCACTACAGTATACTGCAATGGACATTAATGTATTATGCTACCTCCATGGTTCACCAGTTAACCTAAAAATGAGAGACCTATTACCAACAGTGTTGGGCAAGTTACTTCCAAAATGTAATATATGACTTATTACTCTCTTTTGAAAGTAATAAGTTACATTACAATATTACTGTCTCTGAAATGTAATGAGTTACACTACTTTAGTTACTTTTGAGTTACTTTCACCAAAATAACCGCAAAAGAATAGCTAGGTATTTTAAATGCTAAAATGTAGTTTAGTGCAGCTCATTATACATCCAGTGAAGGGCGATGTAGCATAACAACTGTGTAGGCCCTTAAGGCTGACAACTTGTATTACACGGCTTAGTTGAATACTCGATTCTGATTGTAAATTCTTAACATGTGACACGTTGTTAATACAGTCATACAGACCGCTGTCAAGGACTATAATGAAGGTTGCTAAGGAGGATCAAGAAAGAGAAAGGAAAAGAGGTTAAAAGACGGAGCGCTGGACGTCAGATAAATCACCAGAAGAAGGCAGACAGGAAGTTAACAATAACAGGACACGGAATGGGCTCTGTATTTTGTTTAGTATATGGCCGTGTATAGGCCCGGTTCCAGAACAAAATGACTCAGGGTGCCTCTGAGATTAAAGGGGGCGCAGCAGTAGTAGGTTTACATGAGCAATAGTGGCCGGCAACAGTAATGAAAAATAGCATTGATGGTCCCCAATGAACAGATTATGGCATTTGTTATGTTTTGAAACCAAGCAAGTTAGAACATTTCAAGTGAGTTAAAAGTGCAATCCTGAAATATCTCATATAGTCCAAAGTGGACTATGGCCAAAAAGGCTGTTTTTGCACAAAAGCTTCAAAACTGTGCTGATAAAACAAATGAGCACATTTGTAAATCAAGGCCCAAATATTATTTGAACAAGTTCATGGCTTTGAAATGGCAAACACCTTGAAAAGCCAAAAGTATTATTAAAACCACTGTACTTAAATCATCACCTTGCCGTCCCATCATATCTGGGAAGAATTATTTACTGCTTGCTGGAAAACTGGCAGTCACATCATCATGGTGAGGTTGACTTTGTGACCTGGAGAACATGTCAGCTGCAACATTGAGCTTGTTGATAGCTTGGGCTATGAGATCTTTTTGTGCATTCGGCTCGGGTGAAGGCATCTGTGCTAATTGTATGACATTATTTTTGACCCAACATTATCTACAAGGCATTTGCGCAGATATATGGCACTGATTTCACATGAATATCTAAACGCCATTGCCTCCATTTGTATAGCCCGAGCCTTGCAAAATGATCCGCCTTACCCCACTGTACAGGCGGGTACTTGTTTAGATATATACCTGGTCCCAGGCTCTGTTTTGCCGTGGTATCCTGGCATCCTGCGGGGCCGTCATCGGGTCGCGCTAGCTTTCGCGGCGGGACGAAGACTGCTGCCTCCGGGGGCTGGCGAGTCAGGCGGGAGGCTAAGTTTAGTTGTCCACAACGGAGGGGTAACGTGATGTCCCATCTGAACCTGTTCGCCTACTGTCTGCAGTTAGATTCCAGCTGTTGCTGGCGTTTAGTGATGGTTGGCTTCAACCTTTTTGTTATAAATGGATTATCCACAGATCAAGAATGTGTGACAGTGGTCACTGCTGTGGAAGCACTTTTGGACAATGGATGCACGCCACAGCGAGCAGGTCACGCCGCACCTAGACACAATTTGTTGGGTTTGTATTTTTTTCGCTCCGCTTCTCTTTGTTTGAATGGTGCATAACATTCAACTGGCCCCCAAAGAGCACGACGCCGAAAGCGCTGAATGGGAAACACCAGGTGTACTAATTCTACCCGCAGAATTTGTCTGCGTGTCGGAATGTCTCGCTATGTTAGTCCATTCTTAAAAAAAATAAAACACCATTATCATTTCGGGGTTAAAATGTGCTGAGCTTTCTAACATGGCTAATATATTACCCAATTCAGTAATGCCGTTACATTTACTAAGGTTAGAGCCCAAAAAGTAACTATATTACTGTAAATCCTTTTGTACGTTACACCCAACACTGCATTACCAATTAGCTTAGCTTGGTATTTCCATTCAGTTCCTCTTTGCTTGATTATTTTCTTCTTATCTGCTCTTATGTAACCCCCCCCACACCTGGACTGAGTGCCTGCCAAGCATGCACTTAACCCAAACACTATCCCATAAAGAAGGGTCTGTAACATTATGTCCCTTGTTGTGATACATTAAATTTATTTAGGGGAATGTCCGTGGTTATTTGGTGCAGTATTTTCACTTGTGCTCCATTTACAAAGTTATAAGTTACACCGAGATTCAGTCACCCACAAGTTCAGTTTTGATAAAATGCCTATTTTAGTATCTTTTGCATTTCCAGGACACATTTATTTGAATTTGTTATTTTCCTTCAAATTTCCCCTGGCCGGTTGAATGCTAACATTTTTTTTTCAAAGAATGGAGATAATGTAAGAAACAGAAATGTTACCCCTATAAAACAAAGGCTACAGAGCATTACAATAATACAATATCAAAGTGACAAGAACTGGTGATGCACGTGTTCCCAGACACAATAATCAACAATTATTTGATTTGTACTTATTGGTTTTGTAATAATATGTCAGACCCAATCATAAAGTGCATACCTGCAAATACAAACTGCTTTTAACTTGGCTTGTTTCACTTATTTAGCCTGGGCTGAGCTCTTATGTATAGTTCATATTGGTAAAGAAAACATTTGTAACACTAAATGTAACTTCCAACTAAATTCTGTCAGTCTTGCATAATGCAACAGTTGGCGCATAAAATTGCGGCTGTTTTACTACCATTATATGAATTTGAACCATGAAATATTGTAGTACTCTTTCCATTCCTACTATGTGACATGGTTAGATCTCCTCCTCCTCCTCTTCTTCACTCATCCTCCTCAGTGCGTCTCCCTTCACTCCTTTACTGTATTTATTCCTCTTTCCCTAGGTCCATACACTACACAGTATTTGATACAACCCAAATAGAGGACCATTCATGCTGAATGATCTATATCCAGCCACCACGTGTCACAGGATTTCTCATTCCCTTTGCATTTGGTTAGATTTTGTCCGTGTGGGTTATTTTTGTTGTGGTGGTTGTCCAACACTGGGCTCTGTCCCCTTTACATGCAACCCACTTGTCAGAAATGCTTCTTAATAGCTCATGTTGGACATTACAGTGAATGTTTGATTTATGTGCACAAATAGTGTGTTTGTGATTATCACATGTGGCTGAAAAATTGCCACGCTTGTTCCAATGTTGAATGGCAATCAAAGGTTACAGTTTTATTGAAGCTTGTTTATAAGGAATGGCTGTTGATTGATGACAAAGCCTCATGTTATGGTTGCCATAAATACGTTTTTTCCACATTCAGTCCTGGCTTTTTTGGTTAACCACAGCTCTGACTTTTCCCTCGGGTTTGTATAATATCCCTATTAGCCTAGG